CATTTTGAATCTGAGAGAAACAAGCTCATTTGTAAAAACATAGGCAGTACTTTCTAATTGATTAAATGACTATCTCAACTCATAATTTGATTGAGTAAAATGTGTCATATACAATCCCTATTTAGCAATGCTTTTTCCTTGATCTAAAGCCTTGCTAGGGAAAGACAAAGGAGCCCTGGTTAAGTACTCAGCTGTTAACCATAAAGTTTCTAACCCACCAACCACTCTGGGATTAAAGACCTAAGGATCTGCTCCTGAAAACCTGTGGAAACTTTATGGTGCAGCTCTACTCTGTCTTGCAGTGTCTGTCAGTCGGAATGGACTCGATGGCACACGACAGCAGCAGAGGAAAAGGCAGCCAAGCCAACAGCATTCTTTACTTACTGAATGAACATTGTCCACTCAGATTATCCTCCCAATAAGAAAGCTTCTGGAAAACTAACAGAAGTAATCAACATTTCATGACTTTCAAAATATATTTTAGCTAGCCCCACCAATAGAGCATCAGATTCAAGGCAGAATAACCAGAAAAGAGTTTTTATGGAAAACTTTTCCAGCATCATTTGATCCGAGCTATGGGAAGATAAGGATTCTAGAAGCATGTAGAGGGCTGTCTCAGGGAAGCTCAATTTTGCTGAAGGGCAGATTCACAATTTGTGGTTCTCAATGAATGTGGGCACCTCTGACTGATCATTATTGGATGGGATACTTGGAAAAATCCTTGCATAAGGGAGTATAGTAGCAACTCTATATGGAGAAAGTTTGGTTGGGGCTAGGCCTAAAACGTCATCCTTGTTCTTAATGCAGTGAAAAGCTATTAAAAGTGTTTAAGCAAAGAAGTAGGAACTCTAGTTGATCATTTTTGAAGAGATCACATATACATGCCTTGTCTCAACACTGTTCAAAGTTTTGATTAAAAATTACTATTTTATGTAAATAGCCAAAGACTGATGATCTGGTTACCTTGTACTGCTCTGAGAAGAATATACCACAGATGGGATGGCTTAAACAAACAGGAGTTTATTCTTACAATTTGGAGGCTTTAAGTCTAAGTTCAAAGTGCCAGGCTCTAGGGCCTGGGTGAAAGCCCCTCAACCTTGGGGTCCAGCTCTCCCTCCTGCTCCTGGCCTACTGGAGCTAGAGGCATTTCTTCACTCAGCTGCTGGCTGTTGAGGCTGAGAAGCCCCAAGATTGACAGGTAAAAAAGGCACAGTCCCAATGTTACCAAACCACACAGCAGGCCATTAACTTAAGTCCGTTGTATATCCCAATGTCGGCTGCTGAGCAATGACATGGCTACATGCAAGGTCCAAACATGCCATGGGCTAGAGACCAGTCCCAAGGCTTCTCCTTATATACAGGAAGCAGACCACATCCCTTAAGCAACTACTCAGCTGCTTATGGCAGTTGCCACCATGGAGCTGATTGCCAGTCTGATCACAGGGAATACTACCACCAGCTGCCCAGCCACTCAACCAGGCCTAGCCAAGTTGACACACAAACATAACTGCCACAACTGACTAATGTATAAAAAAAACTAAGAGAGCTTGTTTTGTTGTACAAATATAAAAATATATAACACACATTTGCCAATTTAAAGTTTTTCACATATAGTTTATTAATGAAACCAATTACATTGATTATGTGCAACCGTCACTACTATCCATTGCCAAATTATCCCTCACCATAAAGAAAAAAAATCAACTTTTTTGACTACTGAATAAGTTATAATGTCAATCATTCTTTCTTTGTAAACAAACAAACAGAAAAAAAAACAGTTGCCATTGAATTGATTCTGACTCATGGTGACCCCATGTGTGTCAAAGTAGAACTGTGCTCCATAGGGTTTTCAATGGCTGATTTTTCATAAAATATGGTCAGGACTTTCTTCAAAGGCATCTCTCAGTGGACTAGAATTTCCAGCCTTTTGGTTAGCAGCCAGATGCACTAATCATTTGTACTACCCAGGAACTCCAAAAATAATACAGAAAGATATAATTTACATCATAGTTCACATATTTAAACTATACAATTCAGTGGTTTGTAGTATATCCAGATTTGTGTAATCGCTACCACTGTCAATTTTAGAACATTTTTATCAGATCAGAAAGAAGCCTTGTACCCATTAGCAGTCCCTATTTCCTTCTAGCTCCCCCACTCCCACAAGACCTGGGCAACCAATAATCTACTTTTTATCTGTATGGATTTACCTGTTCTGGACATTTAATATAAATGGAATCATACACTATATAGTTTTTTGTGACTAGTTTCTTTCAAATAGCATAGTTTTCATGGTTCATCCATGCTGTAGCATGTATCAGTACTTAATTTCTTTTTATTGCCAAATAATATTCCATTGTATGGATATATCGTATTTTATTTATCATGGGCACATAAGGAGGCCGATAAGAGCTCTGAACCTCAAGGCTCAGATGAGCTTCCTGGTTGGTGACTATGCATGAGAGAGAGTAGCATGTCCCTCTTTGGTACATGTAAGCTCCGTGATGGGACCCCTCCCAAACCTCACCCTTTGTTTGTGTCTCTTTGTTTGGACCTTTTTTGGTTACAATAAATCTGTAGTATGGTATACTCTCCATGAGATTCTGTGAGTTCCAGTGAATTAACAAACCCACAGGGGCAGTGAGAGCCAGCGAGGGGCTGGTGTCTGTCTATTTGGCAGTCTCAAAGAAAGTGTCCTTCTAACTTGGGAGCTTTGACCCAGCTTCAGGTGGCTATGGTTGGAGAAAGGGTCTAATGTGAGCAGCTGGCAGTAGAATGGAAAAGTGGGACAGTGAGGATTGGACCTGTCTCTACACTTTGGGGATTGGATTCATGCTGATCCTTACCACACAACACAGTTAGGGACAAAGATTGAATTTGTCCACTTTGCCCCTTAGTGCAAAGTGCAGCCATCTATTTGTCTTATTTCTGTATATCTTAACTTCTAACTTTATTGATAGTTAAGACTATCATCATAGATTTCTTATTTACCTCATAGTTGGGAGTCTAGCTTGAAAAGTAGTTAGGTACTCATGTTTGCTAATTGGTAATGAATTGAATGGCTGACAAATTGTTGGGGAGGGATCGGTCTCAGACAGACAAACATTGGTCTCATGGTCCGTTTAGTCCTCTTGTCAAGGCAATTTCATATTTACAGGTGCCAGTGTGTTTTCTCTAGGTAGAGACTATAGGAAGTATTTTTCCTTAATCTTTTTTATATTCAAAAGTGTTCCATTTCTGTTATGGTCCTAAAATTCCAGTTAAATTCATTTAGTTTGCTTTTTGTTTCTTATTACTCTCTTTGCCTTTTAGGGGTTATAATGAGAAAAAACTACAAGACAATATTCAGTGTGAAATTTTCCAAGTTCTTTATGAAGAAGCCATGGCATCCTACAGCGAAGAAATAGTGCATCAGCTGGCTAGCAATAAACCAGAAGATCTAGAAAATAATATAAATCAGATATTGAAATGGATTGAACAATGGATCAAAGATCATAGCTCTTGACTTGCAAGACTGGCCCCATTATAGTCACTCTTACTGATCTCTCTCTCCCCACATTATAGAAATTGTCCAACTATCAGTAAAACTTTTGTGTTAAAATTGTGTTGCAGGACTAGCATGTGGATAGTATAAAAGGTTTATGCCTGGGCTCTTTTTTCTCCATGAGAAAGCTAAACAATCTCAAATATAATGAAATAACATTAGTAAGGATTGAGAGTAAAGACTGTCATTGTTTAATGCTTCAATTGTTATGGGATAAATAAATCTGACAAGTGGGTAGATATCTGATAAATTTATTACAGAAAAAGATAGTCTCTTAAAATAAAACTTAAGCCTTAAGATAAAGTGTCAGTATTTCTTTTTCATTCTTAATTTTTAAAAAATTTAAGTGGTAATAATGGTACTTTGTACAAAATTCAAACCAGGGTACCCCTGTCTTCCAGCTACTTCAAATCTCTGCTCTTAGGAAATAAAGTCACTGGTCTTAGATATCCTCTCAGAGATTGTATGCCTATTCAAAGCATGAATATGCATTTTTCAAGAAAGCATATGGTTGCATACCACACACACTATTCTGTACCTTCTTTTTTTTCCATTTAACATATTTTGGAGATGATACCATCTCAGAACATAAAAAGCGCCCTATTTATTTAATTTTTAGTTATAATTCACATATCACAAAATACATCATTTTCAAGTTACAATTCATTGACTTTTTTTTTTTAGTATATTCACAAGGCTGTGCAACCATCATCAATATCTAATTCCAGAACATTTTCATCACTCCCCAAAAGAAACCCTGAATTCTCATTAGCAGTACTCAGTGGAATACTGTGCAGTTAAATGAGGCAGGTCTATTTGTTGTTAATGAAAAAGCAAGAAGCAGAACACTATGTTTTATGCTTCTATGTGTGAAAATATGCATTTATAGATGTTTATCCAGAGAACATATTGAGAAAGGGGAAAGGAAAGAAAGAACAGTATTTATTGCTGGAGAAAGATGATGGAGGTTTGAATTCTGACTACACGTATTTTTGTACCATTTAAAAAATTTTTCCATATTCATGTACTACTTGAAAAACTTTATAAGTAGGGACATATACCGTAAACGAGCTTTGGTGGTGTAGTAGATAAGGTATTTGGCTGCTAACCAGAAGGCTGGCAGTTCAAACCCACCAGGGGCTCCTTGGAAGGAAGATGGGGCAATCTACTTCCATAGTGATACTGCCTCAGAAACCCAAGGAGGGGTCGCTATGAGTCAGGTCCACTCGAGGGCACATAACAACAACAACCCTTCTCCACCCATGTCTGCTATAGCTCCATAATACTACTCCCATTTTCCCTTTGGTCAAGGCCCCAGGCCCCAAGGCATGAGTTTCAAATATGGCTGACCAATAAAACCCCCACTTGCTCCAACCTCTCCCTGTCAGGTTTCCTGCAAAAACCACAATAAAAGATGTTTGTCCACAGTCACATGCCATCTCTGCCTGTGAGCACCCCATGCATATTCCCCATGTAGCCCTAATGGGCGTGCTGTGAACACCAGGGAATATGAGTGTAATAAATCTTTAAAAGCTTCCAAAAAAAAAAAGATTTGCAGCCTCAGAACCCAATGGGGGTCACTATGAGTCACAATCGACTTGGCAGTGAGTTTTGCTTTTTTTGAGTTTAATATACCATGTATTAGAGTAAGGCAGCTCTGGTGGTGGTGTGGGAGCTCTGGTTGCTTCCTCGGAAGGAAGATTGCTCAATCTAGTTAAGCAAAGATACCGCCTCGGAAACCCAAGGAGGGGTTGCTATGAGTCGGGTCGGGAGGGGTTGCTATGAGTCGGGTCGACTCGAGGGCAGTTTTTTTTTTTTTTTTTTTTTTTAATGTTAGAATAAAGGACAAAAAACATGATCATTTCAATAGACACAGAAAAAGCATTTGATAAAAATTGATGTCCCAGGGTTTCTTTTTGAGAGTGATGAAAATGTTCTGGCATTAGGTACTGATGATGGTTGTACAGCCCTGTGAATGGGAAATGAAGAGTCCTTTCAACAAATACCCACTCCCTGTTGCCATGGAGTCAATTCCAACTAATAGCGACCTGTAAGACAGAGTAGAGCTGCCCCTATTGGGTTTCCAAGGCTGTAATCTTTTATAGAAGCAAGCTGCCATATCTTTCTCCCATGAAGTGGCTGGTAGATTAGAACTGCCAACCTTCTGGTTATCAGCCGAATGCTTTAACCACTACATCACCAGACCTTCTTGAAAAAACTGGGGTATCTACATGCAAAAGAATGAAAGCAGACTTCTTGCTTACACTATACCCGAAAAGTAAAGCAAAATGGATCATAGACCAAACTATAAAAGCTAAAACCACAAAACTCATGATTATATGCTAAATATAAAGTGTTGTTTGCGGTGTCAATTTTATCACAAAAACGAAAGAGGGGGGGAAAGACACCATCAAGAGAGTGAAAAGACAACCCACAGAATGGGAGAAAATATTTGCAAATCATACCTGATAAGGGTTTAGTATCTAGAATATAGAAAGAACTTTTCCAACTCAACAAAAAAGCAAACAACTAAAAAAATGGGTGTGGTAGTTAAGTTTGTGTGTCAACTTGGCTTGGCCTGGTTGAGTAGCTGGGCAGCTGGTGGTAGTTATTCCCCATGATGAGACTGGCAATCAGCTCCATGGTGGGATCTACCACAAGCAGCTGCCTTTGAGATGTGGTCTACTTCCTGTGTATAAGGAGAAGCCTTGGGACTGGTCTCCAGCCTATGGTACACTTGAACCCTGCATGTAGCTATGTCGCTGCTCAGCAGCTTGCCATGCTCTGCCAACCTTGGGATATACAATGGATTTAAGTTAATGGCCTGCCATGTGGTTTGGTAATACCAGGACTGTGCCTTTTTACTTGTCAACCTTGGGGCTTCTCAGCCTCAGCAGCTAGCAGCTGTCTGAGTGAAGAAATGCCTCTAGCTCCAGTGGGCCGGGCACAGGAGCCTGAGCTGGACCCCAGGGTTGAGGGGCTTTTACCCAGCTCCTAGAGCCTGGCACTTTGAACTTGAACTTAAAGCCTCCAAATTGTAAGAATAAACTCCTGTTTGTTAAGGCCATCCAAATTGTGGTATATTTCTTGTCAGAGCGGCACTAGGTAACCAGAACAATGGGCAATGGATTTGAATAAACCTTTTTCCAAAGAAGATACTCAAATAACTAATACACAGATGAAAAGATGCTCTGAATCAGTAACCACTGGAGAAAAAAAAAAAGAAAAAACCATTGCCATTGTGTCAATTCCAACTCATAGCAACCCCCACTAGGCTTTCAAGGCTGTAAATCTTTACGGAAGTAGATTGTCTCATCTTCACCCTGCAGAGCAGTGGGTGGATTTGAACTGCCAAGACCTTCTGGATAGCAACCAAATACCTTACCCACTATGCCACCAGAGCTCCTTAACCATTCCAAAAAAAAAAAAAAAAA